ATGAAAAAAGAACATTATGTTGAAATTTTGAGGAATAATCTGCAGAAATCTGCTCGTAGTCTATCCTTAGGTCGTCGCTGGGTCTTCCAACAAGACAATGACCCAAAGCATACATCGAAATTGGTCCAACAGTTCCTGAAGGATACCAAACCAAGGTCCTGGAGTGGCCCACACAGAGCCCAGACCTCAATCCTATTGAGAATCTGTGGCGGATGCTCAGTGATTGTCCATGCTCGGAAACGACGCAATTATTACCAGCTGGAACAATTTGCAATGGAAGAATGGGCCAAAATCCCTCAGGAGACCTCTGCCAGCCTAGTAAAGAACTACTCTAAGAGGTTGTTGTCAGTTGTGGCTCAGAAAGGCTACACTATTGACTATTAATGGCCTGGGGGCTAATAATTTTGGATGTCTCATTTTTGCCCTTTCTTGTTTCAACTCAATGCATCAATAACATATCCTAATCAAACTTAGTGGACATGTAGTCTTTGTTATGTTGGAAACAAATACACTATAAACACTCGCTGTTAATGGTCATTTCATGGAGAAATCAAGAGTTTTGTATAATTTCATAAGGGGGGCTAATAATTTTGTCCTCAACTGTAAAATCCTCCTTTTTTGTAGAGTAGTTGTATGTTGGACTAAACTGCAATTGCACTCTCCCCAAGAAAAGTCAAGATTTACTTTTTTTGCTTTCATAAGAAGTGAAACTACCGGTGATATTAATGTAGAATAGATTCTGGATATACAATGAATCATCATCGATAGTAGCTAATCCAGTACTGTAGACTGCAGTTTCTCGTAAGCATTGTTGGATTTGTAGAGTTTCATTCTTACAGTAAGAATGATATCAATGCTTTCACACCTAACCTGTATGGTGTGGTTTAAAAAGGCACTTGTGCATTTGCTGGTTTGGAGCTGTTAAGGATGTTGTGAAAGCTATAAATCTCTAGTTGCTGTAGTGTAGACCAAACAACCTGCAACGAGGCTGCTTGAACACACAACAGCTATTTTCCCTGAAATAATGTGACAGCTCTTTTTGTTCTGTTTATACCTGTTGGCCACAATTTATGAAATATGAATTCCAGTTGTAGTCCTGTCTGTTAACAGGGCTTAAAGTTCTCCAGCACTGTGCCGGAATTCCGGCGCGAGGCGTTTTTGTATTCGACTATCTATATATATATATATATATATAATGTCTGTGGAAAATATTCTTGCATATTTTTTCAGTGTTGCGTGTTAGGTGTGTGTGAAGCAGCAGTCTTCCTCAGCACAATTGGTGGCTCGGTGTCTGTGTATACCGAAAGAAAGGGGACTGGCACTTCCTCGCAACGTGTACACTCATTGGCTATTGTAGGCAGTGAACAGGGCATGGAAGTTTCTTTTGGGTCAGTTAAGGTGTCACTCAAAAAGTCAATGTGTAGACGCGTTTTTTGTTTACATGCTAGCTGTAGTTAGGCTAATATATCTATCAATCAATCAATCAATCTTTATTTCTAAAGCACATTTAAAACAACCAAGTTGACCAAAGTGCTGTACATTGAAATGAAACAATAAACATACAGTTCTCATGCCAGATTAAAAGCCAAGGAATAAAAATGTGTTTTAAGTCGCGATTTAAAAAACCTAAGGCTTAGTGCCAGTCTGACATGAATTCATTCCACAGTCTCGGGGCTGGGACTGAGAAAGCTCAATCCCCCCTGCTCTTGAGCCATGTTTTAGGGACAACAAGAAGAGATTGGTTCGCAGACCTTAATGACCTTGAAGGAGCATGTGACTTCAACAGATCAGTGATATAGATTGGAGCTAGTCGATGAAGGGCTTTAAAAACCAACAATAGAAACAATAGAATTACGAGTTCTATTAAGGAGACGAGCGACAGCATTTTGAACCAGTTGTAGTCGAGAGAGGGAGGCCTGGCTAACACCTATATACAGAGCATTACAAAAGTCAAGGTGTGTTGTGACAAATGCATGTATAACCTTCTCAAAGCCTGTGAGGGATAAAAAGGGCTTAAGCTTAGTAAGAAGCCTAAGTTGAAAGAAACTTGCTTTCACAATAGAATTGATCTGCTTCTCCATTTTAAAATCACAATCCATTTTTTATATATAATATAAAGTGAGGCAATAGCAGTCTGTGTGTATTTATTGAAATAATAATGTGTTTTGGACTAAATATTTCACTGGATTGTAGGGCTGCAGCTGATTTTAGTATTCGAAGCTTTGATAGATTATTTCAACAATTCATCGATGCGTCGTTTAAGAAGTACCCTCGACCATAACGGGATCAGCTGTGTATGTTTATAGGTGATAGATATTTATTAGTCCTTTCGGAAATTCATAATGTGTCATACAGCAAACATCAGACCAACAACTAGACAGCTGCTTTACAAACACAAAAATCACCTGAGTGCTATACAAGTTATTCTAAAGGCTCGTGCCGTTCACACAACTTGCCGTAATATGACAGCAGTCTTGAAGTCCTTGTGGCGTTGACATTATGTGACTGATTGGTGACAGGGACACACAAACACTACAGGATCTGTCAGCGGCTATGGCACCCGACGCTTGTCTCCAAACCACATTTTGTCAAGAAAACACACATGAAATGGGAAATGAGCGATCCTGCACACGAAACACCTGTTGTTTGTTGTTATAAAGATGGCGATAATAAAGACAAAGAATATTGGTGAAAGGGTCGATTAGTACATGCAGGTGGCAGGGATTGTCTGAGCTACAGAGAGAGCTGCAGGCGAGTTAAAAGGTGCAGCTCTGCAGCTTAACTCTTGACTGAGGTTACAACTCACGGCCCAAAAAGGAGAACAACAAACGCACGTGTGTACATTTTCAGCTGAGGACTGCAGCCTTCAACTCAACAATCAATCATGATTTCAGTTAAATGCTAAAGTTGCTGTTACGGTTACCTTGTCTGTGGTCCTCTGGCAGAACACCGGCTGCTTTTTGTTCAGGTGCCATCTTGCTGTTGCCGAGGCGACATAAGTTTCATTTTACAGTGGACAGACGTTAACATTACAGAGTTGTTGTTTTCTTTAGCTTGAAATAATCCCATACTTTGGACACTTTCTTCTTTGTCCCTCGCTGTTTTCTCTCTCTTCCTTCACTTTGCAAACAGCTCCATCATAATCATGTCGTGTTCACAGCGTAAACGCGATGTGCGACAATAATAAATGTCCCTGCGAAACACTGCTGTATAGTTACATGGATTAAACGAAGCATCAATGCAAAGAATTTGTGTTGATGCATTTTATTAATCGATTTTATAGATTTAATCGATGAATCGTTTCAGCCCTACTGGATTGGATCATCTTGACCTTTGCCAACATAACAAGGCCATTTTCGTGATATGTATTCCACTGGTGGAGTAAGGCTTCACAGATAAGTGGTATCAATTTTGACAATAGGCAGTGCTTGAAGTGGGCCACCGATACCAGTAAGTTACTTCTAACGTTACATTTTACTCTTTGGCGTCACGTCCGACTTTTCTTGCGTAGGCTACTGGTGGGCTCTATGTGGCGCTAATCTGTTCCCATTCTTGCCTGTTGGCTAATCTCTGTCGGCAGAGCAGGTAGAAGCTCGGTGCCTTTCATGTAGCCGTACGCTCCCATGTGAATGGGGAGCAATAAAACAATGATAATTATTGCAATATAATTTTCCTCAATAACAATGTAACAAATTTTTAATAAGTGTTTGATTTAATTCATTTGAATCACGAACAAATCAGCACTGTACTTTGTTGAGGAAAAGGGACTGAAAAAAAATTACTTAATTGAAATTTAACGTTACTTTATCATAATTATTTTGAATGTTTTACCTCAGATTTGTTAAGTGATCCCAGTATTTCCCACAGAATGACAGTGTAACTGTGGCACCAGCTATAAACAATGTACTAACCTTGACAACCCAGCTGTATTCTAACGTTAACTTGACTCTTCTTATTAGCTAGGCTCCTTGCGTGCTTGCTAATAACTTTTTTTAAGCTGGGCGTCCGACAGCGTTGTGTTGGACAGATTTGTGCAGTGGTGTTCATGAGGGAGAGAGAGAGAGGGACCTAAATAGGCCTAGTAAAAAAATTGGAAATCAACATGTGGCAGTCAGCGTTGATATTGTGGCAGGCGCCACAAATAAATGAACGTATGGGAAACACTGGATCCACTGTTAGGAATTAAGTGTTTGTTCTGACCATAAAAGTAGTTTCAAACCACCATTAATCATCTGGTTTCTTCAACTTTCACTCAGGAGTAAAAATCTTCCTTATAATGATTTGACATTTATCATAAGAATAATCGATATTGAATGATGTGAAATGTTTTATCGTGATAACATTTTCAGCCATATTGCCCAGCACCTATATTTTCCACTTAAAGCACTGATTATAGGTGGTGCCAGAATGCTGTTTAAAACTCAAAGACCCCCCTTCATATATTTCCAGATTGAACGTTTTATCAAACCAGTGTACAACTATCTTCTTGTCTTTTTCTTGTGAACCCAGAATTGTGTTTCTTCATGTTTCGCGAGCTAAGTGTATGTCAGAACCCTAATCTGAGTCCCTATGTCCCCTCCATCTTTCGTAAACCCCCGAACACATTTCAGGCACAGAAAAATGTCTTGCTTTAAAACCTGTGTTAATGCTCATAGTCAAGTCAGTTTTTTTCTACAGGTGCAGCAGTGACCATATGTGTATCAATTTTTTTTAAATGTCACCAGAAATGATAGTAGGATTGGATTAACACTGTTAGATGCTGCTAGTATATTTATCCTGTATTTAGTAGTAGTGGACAACATTAGCTGATATGTGACAAACTAAAGAAATAAAAAATACATTAGCCCAGTCCCACTGGCTAATAAAATAAAGTATCTTCTGATGTATGAGGCAACATCATTCATTTTTCATAAATGACAATTTTAGCTTAAATGTGGCCCAGATTTTTGCATATGAGCCCTTAATAACCATTTTTTTTGTTTTCATCTCTTTGTTGACAGGAGCCTTGGGGCCACAATGCACTCCATGGACCCTCTGTACCCTCTAGACATCCAAACACAGGGCCCACCATGAACGGGGCAAGTCACACTCCACTGACGACCAACAACTCTGCATACAGCAACTCTGGGAGTGGTGAGCACACACTCGACAAATCACACGGTGCACAATATTTGTCCATTTGCACTGTCAGATAGTCAACATTAGGGTTGGAGTGTTTGTGTACTCCCGTTATCTTCAACCGAGTGTGTACACACAGTGTATTTGTCAGCCTGTGTGTGTATGTGTGTGTGATTTATATACATACGTGTGTATGTGTTTGCAATCACTGCACAGCATGACACCTAGCCAAGGCTCCTGACATTTTTGTTGTTGTTTTTTTTTTTAGGTCACTGTAGCAGCCCCCCTAAGCATCTTATAGCACTGCATTACAAAATTGTCCAAGCGCCGTCTTTATATCCCTTTTCACTGTCGCCCCTGCATATTTACAGCGGTAGAAAGGGAAGTCATTAACTATGTTTTTCTGAACGCGATGGTTGCTTTTCATGTGCAAAAGATCTGACCTTGGAATCATTACGCTGATGAAACGGCTTCTAAGTGGGCCAGATTTGCATACAGGGTATTTTGTGGCATGCGTGCTGTCGTGTTAAGAAAAGAAAAGGAAAAAAAGACTAACAAACTGTTTTAAATTCATTCTTTATCTCTCTCCCATCGCCTCCCCCTCCCTCACCCCCTGGGATGCAGGGAGCTGGAGATGCTTTTCTCGCTGAGACTCTGTCAGCTCTCCACCAGACTGGAGCGACAGTATACTTCCAGTCATTTTGTATGGTTTGGGGTTCAACACAAAGGCTTTACAGTGGGGAAATGATGCGCTCCCGGGGTTTACAGTTTAGGGAAATGTTGTAGGAAGAGTTGCATGGAACTTAGAATGCAGCTTTTGTATGGAAATAATTATATTGTGTGTTTTGGTTTTGTTTAAATGTGCATTGTGTATGGGGTGTTTTTATTTGTGTATTTTTTTTATGTGGAACATGTGCTTCTGAAATGTCTGACCTTGCTAAGCTTTGTATTGATCCTCAAATGAAGGACACACTGGTCATTGCGTCTGGTGTTTAAATATCCCTCTTTATGCCGTGTCTTGTCACATCTGATGAATATAGATAATAAATAATAAAGCAATATTTAGAAATATAAAACACTGAAGACTGGATATCATAGTGTACACACACTTTCAGTATTGATTTAGCTTTTATTGCCTTAAGGACTGACATTAGAACAAATTCTCCTTTACTTTTGATAATCTAGCCAGCAAAATCAAGGTAAATGCTCAAAACAAAATAACCATAACATAACAAAAAAATCCAAATGCTACTGAAAATGTGTTAAAATGAACACCTTGTCTGTTTTTAAATTTTTCTTTGATTCTACTCTGACAAACAAAATCATTGTTTGTTTTTTTTGCCCGGTGGATTGTTTGTGTTTCTCCTCAGCTCCATATCCCGCTGCGACCACCAATGGCAGCTACGGTCACTACGGCAACGACGATGAGGAGTTGCAAACAGGCTTCCCCCCGCCTCCTTCCCACGGCTCTGTGGAGGAAATTAATAGAGACTTACCTGTAACCCGCCCACGCCACAGGTGCCCCCAACATAATACACACTCTCACACACACATAATGTACAGCACACTGCACCATCAGCACTCACATTAAACTATACACAGGTCTAGAGTTAGTATATTCTAATGACACTCTTAATATGGGTCGCTGTGTTATGAGATAAAGAAGAGCCATTACACTAAATATTACAACTCACATATGCATTGTTTAGACTATACAGTCTAATTGCAATAGCCTATCTGCATTATGCATAAGTAATTATGGTAATAGCACAATAGAGTAAATTCTGTAGGAGTTATATGGCTTGGAAAGAGCTATGATGCTTCTGTTAATATCCTGCTGCACAGCCTGCTGTCACACTGACACTCTGCAGCATTCTTTACACAGCACTGCTTTTAGTTTTTAAAGCTTTGGAAGAATGAATGGGTTTTCTTTTTAGTTTTAAACCTATTATGCACAGTCATCAGCAGGCCTCACCTTTGTTTTGAGGTAAAATCTTAATAGGAAAATCACAATATGAAAACCATGTGATGAAGATTATTACCCCTTACGAACAGACAAGAAAATGTTTTTTGAAATATCTAGTTATTTTTTCTTTTCTGTCTTCCTAGAGCTGTCTCACCACCATCCACAATAACTTTTGTCCTGTTATGATCTGCTCTTCTATTTCCTATTGTGCATTGCATTGTGGGGCAAGTGTACATAACCAACACTCAAAAACTCAAGCATCTTTATATGCATACTGACTGCCCAAAACCTACTTAGACTTAATATGTAATATGGAATTGGGGCACAGCTAAAAGTCCTGAAATTCACTTTAAACTCCCTGAATTTGATGTCTAGGTTACGGACAGATTATACTAGAAAAGAAGTGTTTTGTACAACGTGTTGTCCGACCATCTTGGAAATGTGTTTATACCTGTTTCAAACTGCCGGACTTGAAGGTGGAGTGAGAAGCCAGTCATCATAGAGGGGGTTGAGGCATGATATCCTTTAAATACGGCCATAAAAGTGCACATTTTCATCAGAAATGTAGGAACATTTTCAAACATTTACACTCGGTAGTTCATGTGAAAAATGACAGAAATAGTGTAAAGAATGAAAAGAAGAGAGCTAGAGAGAGAAGTTGAAGCCCTGGCTCCTTCATCACCTCTGCACAGCTGACCAATCAAGGTGGGAAGTGGATGTGAATGTGGGACAGGCTTTTTGGAAAGTTAGAGAAAGCCCCTCCTAATCCAGTGTCGGAAAAGTGGTACAAGGAGGTCCTCCTCAGTGTTACAGCAGGTCATCTGACCTGTAAAACATACCACATTCAAAGAGAGTTAGTCTAGTCACTGATAATCCCATAATTAGGATCTAGTGAAGAAACTACTGAATGAGTTTATTGGAAGATCATAAAAGTAAGGGACTGTTTTGCAAGATTCTGTGAACAGTCTTGAATGAGTATGTTTGAAAATCTGCTGTGTGTGTGTGTGTGTGTGTACAGTGTCTCGTGTAGCCAGAGTCAGAATCTGGCTTCAATATACTTGTTTTCCTGTAAGTTTAATGGAGACAGCACATGCTGTTGTTTTACTGAATCATGCCATCTGGAGTAGAGGAAATTGAATGATCTGTTGTCTGTGTGAATTTTAAATTTAATTTACTTCTACTTGTTTGGGTGATGCAAACAAGTCACTAACTATGTCTCAAGACCTGTGTACTTCTGGCTGCACCAGTTCAAGAGTCAATACTGATCAGTTGATTGATTAATTCTAAGTACTTGTGACTGTTGTTTTGCAGCGAGGTTCAGAAGCCGCCCCACATGGATGCAGGTTTATATGCAGGCAGCCATCTGGCCAATGACAAGGACAACATGCCTCGCAACAGAGCGTCCAAGAGCATGGACCTGGGTGAGTGCGCGTGCGCGCGCACACACACACACCTCATCATCAATGAATGAAGCGGTTGTTTTCACTGGTATACAACTGAACGTATGTTGTCCCAACCATCACAAACCAGCCAAACATACGAGGCTAATCGTGGACCCAGACTGCACACACACACACACACCAGCGATCACATGCTTCTTATCGGTTCATTTCTCTGTTGTGATGTGTAGCCTTCCCCTATTATCCCCAGCCCGAGGGGATTTGACCTCCCGAACTCATAAACCCAGGGGCTTTCCAACGAACTGGATGAACACGTCGTCTGGTGTGTGTGTGTGTGTGTGTATGTGTGTGTACATGTCTGTGTGTGCCCTTTCTATTTGTTATTTGTGTGAATGAAATGCGTGAGGTTTCCAATCTCATGGCTTGCTGTGTCTGAGTGTGTGTTGTGTGTGGAAGGCAGGAAAGAAGAGGCTTATTTCCTTGTGTTAACCCGAGCTGACCCCTCCTTCCCTCCTCTCCTTTTTTGTCTCTCTCGAATCTTCTCATCTTTCTTTATCTATTACTTTTCTCTTTTTGATCCTTTTCTCCAATGTTCTTGTTATCCCTGGCTACTGGGACATGGTCAGCGCTCTTTCTTTCTTCCCCCCACATCATTTTTTATTTATTTATTTTCTCAGCATTCCCTCCATCTTTGTTTATTTCTTTTTTTCTTCTTTCAGCACTTTGGTTCTCTGCTGAAAGCCGATGAGTTCATTGCTCTTGCTCTCCTCCATCTATGTCTCTTTCTTCTCTGCCTCTCTCTGATTTCCAATCGCGGTTCATTAGGTTCAGTGGATTGGCTTTCTTCCTGCAGCACACGCCTCTGCCACCCAAGCTGATTGGCTTTCATTATGGACAAGGGTGGTCTGCACACGCGGCCGCACGCAGACACACAAACGTACACACTGTGTGCTCTATCCCACTGAGGACCCACTCCAATACCCACCTCTGTCTATCTCCCCTCTCTGGCCATCTTTGGCTGTCGCCCATTTCAATCTGTTTTTGTTTTCATTTTTGTGCCATGTCTCTGCTTTTATTCATCCCTTCCCTCTCCAGTGCTCAGGGCTGAAACAAGGTAGTTAGCAAAGCTGTGTGTATGTGTGTGTGTGTGTGTGTACATGTGTAAACACGGCAGGAGCTTTGAACACAGAGGACCTGAAACACTGACCCCGTCTACACGTTTTGTATATAAAGAGCCAAATGCTGTTTTTTCCCTCATGAGAATTTCCCACATGTTAGTCTTCCCAGTTCACATGTATGTGAGCTTTAGCCGCAGCACAGGGCAGGTTAGCTTTCATTAAACACCACTTGACAGGCAGAGGTGAGCTTCTTTTATTGACCCTGAATGCCTTAGCAAATAGTCTGTTGACTCAGAGTTCCCACTTACCCAGAGAAATTCTGACACACACCGCCTGCCCATGCCTATATGAATAGAAGAGTCACTGACACTAGAGCTGTACCGAACTCAACAAAGTGATGGGGATTTTGTGTGGCTCCTAGAATGATGAATCTGTTTTTTTACTGCCCCACAAGTGCCTGAAAGACCCAAAATGAAGGGTTTTGCTCTCATTTGCATGATACTATAAGAAACATGAAATAAAACATTGTAATAGGTAACTTATTGAAGCATGTCTGACAGTAAGTTTGCAAGAACCAGCAATAATGGAAACTAATTCATTTATCAGGCTAAAAAGCTATGGTCTGCTTTGGAAAATAGTCTGTATGGATTGGCTTTAAGATGCTTAAAGTGCATTGAAACATCAGACCTTTTAGGAGACATGTGGCCTACTGACTATACTTTATCTATGTTGTTTGGTGTACAGTGACAGATTAAAAGGAATTAACTGACAGACCTTAGATATAACGGACGCTCTCTAAAACACAAGTGTAAGTCATTGAATATAAGATAGCTGCCCTACCTGGCATCCACTGGAAATTCATGCTCTGACCTTCATCCTCAGTTGGTATTGATGACCTGTAACTAATGCGCAACGCGCAACGCGTATAAAATAAATAAACGTACGTAAACGTACAGTTTGGATCCATAAAAGAGCAAATGGAGACTAGGCCTAACAGCCTCCAAAGCGTGTAGACTTTCATTCTGTCAGAGGCCAAGAGGTCTAATCTGGATGTGAAGCAGAACCCGTGAAAACCTCCAACAGTTCCACCACACGCACAGCTAGACTGACTCTCTCTGTGTCTCATTATCTCTCTGCTTCTCTCTCAGTTGCTCGCTGTGTCTGTCTCACCACGTCTCTCCGCTTCTCTTGATCCATCCCTCTGTCTCTGAATCGCTCTTTTTTCCCCTCACCCTGTCTCTTTTATAGTTCCTGTCTTCCTTGCCCCTTTCCTCTTTTCTTCAACTTTTTTGCAATGTTTCTGTCCCTTTTCTGTCCTTTTTGATGCTTCCTGTCTTATGTCTCTTGGGTTTAGTCCTACACTTTATCTCTTTCAGATACTCTTATTTGTAAGTTGTTTTTAAATGTCTCGCTCTATCCTGCGCTTTCCCTACCTCACTTCCAAGATGATGATTTGCCCAACAATATACAGTAGTATAATGCTTCTGCATGTTTGTTTACATGACATTATGGAGTTATATTACCTGGAAAAAAAGAAGACATATATGAACAGTAAGGTAGCTGTCAGGAGGTTAAAAGAGGGTTTCTACATTTTTAGCCTTCCACTGTGGCGCGAGGAGACACATTTGGCTGCTGGTCATGCAGACTTTTATCTTTACTCCACAGAAAAGGAAGCTTTTCATTATCTGGCAGGGTCATGGCGCCTGTAAAAGTTTTTTTCCCCCCAAACTTTGAAATTATTGAATTTAAAATGTATTTTATCTGGCATATGTGCACAAGAAAGGTATTTCTATTTCTTTGTCTTGGTTGCTACTGATGTTTCTTTGCAGGGCTTTTTTAAACCTGTGTTTTTCTGACACACCCTGTCACCCTGTCACGTCTTGCTCCATCTCCTCGCAGTTTATCGCTTTTCCAGTCTACCTTCTTCCTCTGTCCCTTTAATACTCTCCCTTCCTCTCATTTTCTCTCACCCTCACCCATCTGTCCGCTGGGAAAATTGACCTCATAAAAAATGAAAAGGATTATTTAAGAGAAATAGCAGCGTAATGAAAACCTATTATTGTATCCCATGGTGTACCGCCTGTGGCGGCTGCTGCTGGCCGACCGCAATCCTGTTTAGTTAGATTAGGTGGTTCTCGAATGTGTTCGGGGGCTTCTTGTTTTCTTTTTCCTCCCTTTATTATTTCCCTCATTGCCTCACCTCTATCTCCTCTCATTTTCTCTCACAATCACAATATCTCTCTTTCTTCTGTTTTCTTATATTTCTGCTTCTTTTTCATTTCCTCTTTCATGCTGTCTCATTTTGTCCCCCACTCGTCCTCCTCTGTCTGATAGTTCTGCAGGGAGTCATTTACAGCATGTGCCAGCACCAGTAGATTCCATTATAACCATTTACAAATGCTCTGTATTTCAGTATGTGTGGCACTTAATATTACATGCTATTTAGTGTGTGTTTCTGTCTGTTTTTTTGTGTCCTAGTGGCTGATGAGAGCAACATAGGATCACTGGTCAGGCAGAGAAATGGTAAGTGCTTGATATAATATACATGCATACTCTCAAAGAAAAACACTCTGCTGTTTAGTTTTCAACCCACCAATCTTCCACATATCTCTTTTTCTCTCCTCCTCCAGTTAAGTCGATCGGCACACAAAAAATTAACCTACTGTGTGAAGATTCAAATTTTCCCTGTTTTTCTTAAATATTCTCAAACATTTCTTGATTCCTCACTCTCCTTTGCCTCCCCCCTCCCTCCACTCCCCGGCTGACAAAGTTGAGTTGTGAAGCACTTAGTGTCGGAGCTCTCACTGCTTTATAGCCATCCAGGTCAGCAGGCCCACAGTGCTCAATCCTCACTCAGCTGACAGCAGCTGCATTGCATTACAACGGCTTCTGCTTCAGTTATTTCTCTACACTCAGTTCCGCCTTGTTTTATTTGAGAAAAGTCTGGTTAAAGTAAAAATATAAAGTCAGTTTTACTGTTTTCATTTACTGAGTGACATTACACAGTAGTAGTTCAGACTAAATCTTGTTCACTTCCAAGAACTGAAGCACTTTGCATTTCTGACTGCAGGAACTGCCTGACTAAAGCCACTTTCAGACATCCACCTTGTTACACAAATCTGATGGCAGTTTAACATGTCAGTTTCATGTCCCCAGTTACATTTACATAAAAGTCCCGATGACAATCTGACCTCGTAACACTTCCATAACACTTCTGAATTGAATGCCATCAGACTAATGTAGAAGTTAAAGACACAGAGAGAGATTAAATGCATATCGTGTTGGCCTTATTAGGAGCACAGCAATATATTTGCATTATCACTATTTGCTTTGCTCAAAGAAAATCTGTTACATAAACCATAAAGCACAGTGTATTAGCTAGTTTAAAGTTGTTCAGGTGATTCCTTTAATGTCTTTAATGATCGCCCTCATGGTGCAGCTGGAGCAGAACAACAGTAATAATCATGCCAGCATTCCTTCTCTATATTTCCATAATGCCAAGCATGGGGCGGAGATTGGGGGGTGGGGTCGAGCATCCCTCGCGCTCAAGATGATCAGTGATTAAGGCTTCAATGGAAATATATGTTCTGTGTTCTCCCGCAATGCTCCCCCTAGTGCACCAGGAATGAAATGTTGTGTGTTCCAATGTCTCTGTCTATAGAAAAAGGCATCATGGTGGAACCCACATTGGTGGGGGCTGGAAAAAATATCACAGTTTGAGCTGATTACCGGTTTAAAATGCGTGACCTAATCCAAAGGGAGTGTTGTGTTCTCATCAGGTATGATGTGTCTTGATTATATTTTCTGTATGTTATTAAATTTGTGAAATAATTGACTAAAGAAAAGCCTGTGGTAGAGGTTTGACATTAGACAAAAATGTAACATTGGTTGTAAAGTTATTGTGGTGTGTACACACCAGTTGCAGGGCTGTATGTACGAACAGTTTGTGCTGTGATTGAAGCACATGGGGCAGCAGTGACTTTCCACTGAGTCAGATATAACTGCTCTGGCATCGCTTCCAAAGCTGTTAGACTTGCCTGTGGTTGTTCTGTGCAACTCCAGTATGAATATAAATAGAGGGTTGCCGGCATAGAATGTGCATGCTCGGTTAACGATCTGTAGTTGGGCTGCAGAAGTCATGATTTTAATTGTGTGGAGTTCAGCGCTGTAGATAAATTGCATCTCATTTAGAACACCCACTGTATTTTAATATGGCAACCAGACTTGTGTAAGGAAATAATCATGACGGGCATTTTAAGATTCTGACGTTGGGAGACAGGCCTTCCTTTGCCTCAGTGTCTCTTACACACACACACACACACACACACACCACACGTACACCGATCTCTTACATCCACCTGCACCCCCCC